AAATCTTGATAATTGTTAACTGAATGGAAAAAAAAAAAAAAAGCTAGAGGCAATTTATAAAAAATTGCAAGTATGACTTTGGCAGTCTCCACACTGTCTTAGAATCTCTTACTTTGTCTGAGATTTAAACACAGTTTCTATATAGTTTTCTGATATAGAGATAACAAAGCTTTAATTTTCTTGCATCAGAAAAATAGACAATATTTGCATTTTGAAATGAGACTGCAAAACAGAGGTGTTCTGTAACAAGGAGAGGTTTTTTTTTTTTTTGCATTAATGATTTTTTTCATTATGGCAGTTTCAAAAGAAGATCTTGGACTAGCAGCAAGACCTGGGATAAGGACTCATTTTCCCCAGTCTGAACCACTGGAGGAAAAAAGGGAAGAAAAAACAACAAAAAAGGCACACCATTTGAGGACTGGACAAATATTTGGTTAAAATAAAATTAACCACTGATCTAGTCATGGCAATTTCTAAGCATTATTGATTTGATAGCCCAGGGTCTGCATACAGTAAAACAGCATCAGTAAATTACAGTGATAGAATGACTCAAGTGTATTGTAAGCAAATCTTTCAGATATCAAGCGTAAAATTTACTCTGGAGGAGATGAGGAAAGGTCATCACAAAGCCTTTCCATACAGGGCAGCAAAACAAGTACATGGATGTAGATTGTATGTCTACAGACTTTGAACTGGAGAACATGATTGTTAGCATCTAAGAAGTACTTGAGACAGATCAATAGATTTCTAAGCAACAAAAGAAAAATAAAAAGCCTCTCAATAATAGAAAGACTGCCAGACCAGAGGTTCAGAGGGTTCATTAGCCATTTTCTTTATTGATTGTTATCAGTCACTTCACTGGGAAGTGAAGATTAATTCAAATGGACTAATTAGGTAACAATCAGCCTACACAGAAGATTTCTTTCCCAGTGCTGGTGGTTGTTCATTACCCCAAATCATGACAGGATACTTTCTCTCTGTATGCAAATAAGTGTGGGCATTGAGCACCATGGATTATGGGAGAGCACAGGTAAAGCAAGCAGAGCTAGTTCATGTTCCCATGCAGAAGGTCCTGGAAACAGACTAGCCATGTTCCCGTGGTGCTGAATGCAATCATCCCAAATTAATAAACCGTGTATGGAGCCACACAAACCCTCATAGTTTCTCTCATGACATCCAGCTACATATGATCATGATTTGGGTACATATGTCTGGTTCACTTCCCTCACACACATGCATATTTGGTGTAGATTCCTCCTTGTTTCTTACAACTGATGAATTTCCCTGGGACAGTGACTCTGCCTTGTATATAATGAATATATAAGGTGAAGAAAACATTATGTTAATAAGGCGTTGTCTTTTTTTTTTTTTTTTTAATCTGGTTTTCAGTTTGTTGTCTTTCACTGTCATTGAACTCTATTCCTGTTGTAAGAAAATGCAAATTAACATAGCTTCTGCCCATGAGGCCTATTCACTTTGGGTCTTCCCCGTCTAAATATCCCTGGATTATTTACTTTTAACCTTTCTTTGTACAGACACCTTTCTATGCCTTTAATTAGGTACACTACTGTTCCTGACAACCTCCTATTTCAACAACATAACATACTTTACTTTTACTCGAAATAAAGAGACTTCAAGATAAGATCCTTCTAAAGTGCTTCACACAGTTTTCCCTCTTCTTGACCAACTTAAATAATAGCATGTCATCTACAATTTTTGTCACCTTGCTTTTTCAGCCACTTCTCCCAGACAATATATAAACACATTTACCCACTATGGTGTCAGCAGATACCCTGAGACACTCTTCTGTTAAATTTCTTGCCACGCTGAGAATGGGCTTTCTATTTTTTACTACTTTTCCCCTTATTTTTTCTTCCTATAAAATTTCCCTTCCCTTATTTCTCTGTCCCTCTTTATCTTTGTGTGATTCTCCAAATGCCTCTCAACACACACAATCACAATTTTATATTTTCTCCAAAATTTTTATTCATCAGTGGGCTGTTAAAGGTGACAGGCTGCAAAGAAACCCCTGTGGCTATAGACACAATAAATTAACTTGTAATGTTGATACTTCCCATATTCACATCACATATTGGATGCCTATGACCAGACACCAATATGTGAGAAAGCTGGTCTTAATCTGCCCTGGTTAGTAACTGGCTACAAAACAGATCCCTTTACATTCAATTAAACAGGTAAAAAATTAGAAAGACTTTTAAACAAATGTAAGTGAACATTAAAGAACAACACTGTTATCTAAATGCAATGATACTGCTCACTTCTGATGATCTGATTCCTTCTTTGAATTCATCCTTCACAGATTCCAGGCACTGTAATTCCCAGAAGCCATTAGCTCACTGCACCTCTACTTTTAAAAGCACTAAATGAGTCATTTCCCTAGATTTCCCATTCCACCTCCAAATTCTTCAGCATGAACACGTTTTGGGCATAAAGAGATTACCACTTGAACTGTATACAAAAAGAAATGCCAGTCTGAGTAAAAGCAAAGCTTCATTTAGCCCAGGAGCCCACCTCTGCCTCTGAGGGTGAACAGCTACCCAGGAAAGTGAGGGAAAGCAAAAGGTTTTCCTGAAACTCCCTCCCATTTCCCAGTGATCCTTGGCTTACAGCTGCTTGAGCTGGGAGCTGCAACTAAACCTCCACATTTATTTGCACCTTCTGAATCTATCAGACAAAACTGGGGCTTTTTCCAGCCTGTTTTTTCTCCCTTTGTTGATGCATTGGCCTCCTTGATGTCCCCTTGTAGTAAGATGCAAGTTGAACTATTCACTGCATGAGGGGGAAAAAAAAAAATAAATCCCCCCAAATCTTACTATCTAATAATTTAACTGTCCCTTAGCTCCTACATGATGAAAAAGAATGAATCCTATTTGCCTTCTCTATGCCACATATGATCTCCATGCTTTCCTGTGACAGTTCCCTTCACTACCTTTTAAATTTGTTTAGTCTACCCACACGTGGAAGCCATCCACGCTTGTGACCATCTAGATTTTTCCATTCACAGGAGGTGTGGTATGGATTTATGTCACTGAACAATAATGTTGACTTTTTTCTCTCTGTTCCTTGTATGTTCCTCATATAACAACATAGAATTTCTTTTTTTTATTTTCCTTGAATACTGATACCTTCAGAAAACTATGCAGAAGCATTACCTCAAAAGTGGAACAAATTCAGAATCCCTGTGTACATATACAGTTATTTTTTCCATACTTTACACTTAATCTGTTACTGTAAACAGTAATTTTTATCAGCATAACAATAAGGTATGTTCCCAGAGAGAAAAGAAGCTCTTATGATTAAAGTACCCAAGTCATATTTAGATGATACAGAAGCATAACCTAATTGTACCTCAAACTCTGTGGACAACTGTAAAATAGTAATTTCCTTTCCAGTCCTCTTTTATGCAATAGGAATAATAGAGATGCCTGTGAAAAATTACCGTCTCCCACCTCAAATGAGACATCTAGGGGAAAAGAAGAAATAAAAATAAAAAGTTTTCCAGGCAGGGAGGTTCTGTCAGTTTTCCCCACCTCCACTTTTCTCATATCCAAAATAAAATCAGAATGTCAGCAAGTTCGTTACAGATAGAGAGAAGATCAGGTATATGCCTTCTGGATTTCTGCCAGATAAAATTTATTTGAGGAAAGCAGATGCTTTCTGCAAGGAGTTTGTCAAAAAACCTACCTCTTCAGCAGCGATAAAAAACACTGACAATGTTTTGATCACACATATTTACATGATAAATATTAAAAATGCGCACATTTTCCACACTGGAGATCCAGGAAGGATATTCAGACAGAAAGGTGAAACTCTGTTTTGATTCTTATGAGATTCAACAACAGTGAAGGAGACACATTTTATTAAATATTTGTTACACTTGAATAAAAAACATACTTAATAATTAACTAGTGTGCATTTAATTAACATAATGATTGCCCAACTAAATCAAAATGAAAATTTAATTCAAGACACTTTAAGTACAAGGAGATTAAGGATAAAATATGAATATCCTGAGTCCTTAGTTTTCAGGACTGAGCATGGAGGTGATACATGGCGAAGTAGCTCAACCAGAATTAGCAATTTAGAATGGGTATAAAATGTTCTTTCATCTGCACTTGGGCACAGGAGGCAAAAAATGCCAAACAGGAAACCGTCTAGGAAATTTCTTCTCCCTTTCATAAATAAAAAGCAGAAAGGATGCTCTACCATCTACCTCAGTCCACAATATGGGCTATGCAATCTTTTCTTATAACCATGTATGACAATCCTGTAGATAGGACCCCCTTAAGTGGAGAATTTGCCAGACAAATATATTAATTTGAAACACTTTTTATTTTTAAAATACAGAACTGTAAGATTCAAAAGTCTCAACCAACAGGTCACCTTGCTAGTTTCTTGCTCCACTACCTCTTTGGTGTCCCTCGTCTTAAGAGCATCATGTCTTCTCCTCCAAACAGATACCAAGGATGATCAAGGTTTCTATTCTCTGGGACATCAAAGGCAACACACTCATATGAGAGGAGGTAATCCTGTTTAAGTCAGACTGGAAGGGTTTACAACTAGCTCAGTGCAAGGAGTTTAATAATCATTCCCAGATCTAGTGTTCTAATATAGCAGAGAAACCATTCAGTTACAAAAGAAAGTCTGAATTCTAAGTTTCTACATCTTTAGTAAAAAACATAAACATCTCATTAAAAGTTACACTATGGAAACCACATCAGCAGAGCCCTTTATAAGGTGTAAATAACACTTGGCAACAGTACAAGGTGAGATCTTCAAACTTAGTTTAAAAATCACTTTTACATGGGTTCTATTTAAGGAAACGTATCAGAGTCAAACCTCAGTTACTACCAGTTCTCTGCTTTTTTCACCACTACTGAGACACCCATGATTGTGAGGTCTTCTTAGCAGCACCATGATAGACATGTCAATAGAATTAGAGCCAACATAAAGCATCCAAGACAAGGTCAGGTCATTACCTGTTATATTGCAAAAAACACGGAGTGGTCCAAGTGGTCCACTTCCATCAGAATCGATGTAGAAGAAACCTGATGTCCTCCCTTGGTGTCGATAAGCCTCACAAGATTGTTCATAGATAGCTTGGAAAGAAAGAGAGTGTATCACGAACAAGGAGAAAACAGACACATTTTATACATGAGTAATGTTTTAATCATTGTCATAAAATAAAGTGTTGGTTCACTGCTGATTAGCATGTGAAAGAGTTTACTGTATTTGGACTCAAGTCCATGCTCAAAATTAGGCATATATTTAACTGCTTCCTTGAACTTAATATATGCTGGCTTTAAAGATGTGAGTATTGGCCTTATTTTGGATTAAAGTATGTAAATACTTAAGTAAATGGCTATGAACTTTCAAATGTGCCACCATGTACTTACAGAGTGATACATATAGGCACCCACATAGTGATATTTCAAAGACATATGTACATACACTCATGTATACATTATTTCCTCTCTAGGCACGCGCTCAGGCCTTGTCAACACAGATGACAGATATTTTTGCCAGTCTTGAGCTTGTCTGCAGAATATTGTTAACAGGCTAAATCCCTACCACTGTCTAACACCCAAATGGAAACAAGCCATTGTCCCCCAGCAGAAAAGCTCGAGCTCAGATACGGTCTCCATCCTGGGTGACATTTGTATGCTTTAGATCTATTTTCATACAACCAACTCTTTCTCTCTGCCTATCAATATTCTTCCTTTGGAGGATTAGTGCCCATGAAAATCTAAGTGGTTAATAAAACAAGCACAGCAGGTCACCAAGAGCAGGAACAGAAGGAAAAACTCCCACAGGCCAGTTCAATTCCTTGTATTTGAGGCATGTTTTCAGCCAAGATACCATAACTGTCACTTCACATGAGGCAAAGAGAAAAGTCCCCCAGAGAGGCAGTTAAGAGGTATCAGAAAGTCCCATGATCCTGGATCTTGAACAACAGTAACCTTAAATCACATTGCAGGAGAATTGATTTTTTTTCCGCTCGCTTAAACACTTACCTGATTATACTGACAAGGTTATTCTCTCTAACAGCTTATGGTTGTTCAACTAATTGTCAGAAAATACAATTTAAAAAAAAAGAAAAAAAAAACCCCACGGATTAACTTAGCAGATAGATCAAAACTTCCTTTTTTTCTCCCTATGGGACAGAGTTATTTGGAAGACACAGTAACAGGAAATGCAAGCAAACAGAATTACCCCTAATCTTTAAGCTTTCAGTGCTACCAGTCACACAACACACAGAAATACATTCAGATGTCATCTTCAGATACTGAGAGGTCAAATCCATCTTTTTCTTACCCCTTAATTTTAAGAGCACATTTAGGTACTATTTGCACTTTTGTACATCATTATACAGAAAACACAGGACACAGATAGGGAGATACTCGGGGGGAACTTGTAAATGGCCAATTTATTAGCCACTGCAAACCTTTTTTCCAGGCCCTCTCAACTCTTCAGGCAGCAGAGCAGTACAGTTAAACTTCATACAGCATGGTGTCTGCAGTGTTGAGGTTGGAAATACAACTGCAGAGTTCCCAGCACTTTTCATCTGGAAGGAATTCAAGGACATTTGCAGACCAAGTGCAGGGAGAGCACTTCCTCGCCATTTCTGAAATGCAGTCTCAGCCTCTCCTGCAGAAGGCAGCAATTGCTCTTTTTTTTAATAGTTTCTCATTCCCACTCCTGTGCACACAGGGACTTACATCCCTCCTTTCCTTTCATTCCCTAAAAGTAGATTCCCTAATGAAATAAATTTCAGAAAGGCTTAAATCGCCAGCCTGAAGTAGCCTTGTCTATTATTCTGAAGAATGCTATATGGTAATTTATCACTCAGATTTTAATGAAATCTGGACATTTCTTCACTTCTGCCAACAAAACACAAACACAGTTCTAGGGGCTCCAATCCCAAACTGGCTATGAATTAAGAGTCTCACCAATCACTTGTACCATTGACAGAAATATGCTTTTCCCTTGTACATTTCTTTCCTGACCAGACATCTTTAGTGGGCAGAACAACACTAAGTGCTAAATATGCACAGCATTACCCTTCCTGGAGTTAAGAAGCTGCTTAAGGTACTCAGCACCTGGTGAGACACTGCTTTAATTAGCATCCATCCTATAATAAATAGAAATAAGAAAGCTCCTTCCTGGCAGTCATTAGTCTGATGTATAAAGCACTGTAGGAGTCCAGAAGATCTCTAAATTCCCTCTCTGATAGCTGGCCAAGAGTACATATTAAATGCAAATAAAATAAAATCCCCAAACCAGAACCTATTCTTCCAGTATTCACAACCTGAGGGGCTAATAGAGAGTCCCTCAGGAGCTGAAGTGCTGACAAAAGCAACTGGGATATGGAGGGTCAGGAGAGCGACTGTAACAGGCGATTAAGTAAGCAATCAAGGAATCAGGGTTTGATCAATTTGCAAAGTTCTCAAACTGCAGTTCACTTAGTGAATTTGCTGTCATCATCATTACGCGACGCTTTATCTTGTCTCACTAGGGAATATGCCAATTGCTTCCCCTGAATTGTTTACTGAATATTGTTGAAGACAAAGGAGGGTGCGAAGGGTAGAGACATAAAACTAGTATGTTGTCAGTGAACTGGCACAGCTAGAAACTCATTCTTCATCACAAAATTTCTAAGTGTTTTGCTTCTTTTTGATTGTCATTTTGGCTGGAGCCCCTTTTTTCACATTAAGAAGGAAAGATGTGAAGATTCAGCCATTAATAATGTCGGCAGATGCAAACAGGGATGATCTACTCACCTTTAGATGGCCCCTTTGTCACTGCAACTTTGGGAATAAAAGGCTGTATAGAGCTAGGAAACATGTTAGGGGTGCTGAACTGTTATAAATCTGAAAGGATGCACAAGCTTCAGTGAAACTACAATTACGTCTACCAGAAGAAAATCCATCCTGATATGTTTTTCTTTTGGTTATATGAGAATTCCAGCAGTAAATACTAGGGAACAGCAGAAGAAGTGGGAAAAGGCTATAAACCTTGAGCTCTAGCACATAAAACATATTATAACCATCAAGACTTAGAGAAAAGCTGTTTTGGTGGACAGTTTATTTTGTAGCTGCATGCTGGAAGTTTCACATGTCTGTTTCTTAAGCATTTGGTACTGCATACTTCTAGACTGGATGGGCCATTGCTTTTAGTTCTCCTTTTTTTTGCTATTTTGTGCTGTATAATGCATCAAGGAGAAAATTATATTTGTTTTCCTGCCACTGGCAAATGCCCCCACAGACATTTCAAGTGCACCATTCATTCCAAGCTCTGCTCAATGTCTTTGCAGGCTGAGTCAGTTGCTTGTTTCAGAACAAAGTTATGCAATTCCATTTGCTGAAAAAGGCCCTATTACTCCAGTGACAACAACTTGAGGCTGTCTTTATGGTTGAATGAAAGACAAGCTCTCTTTGCAGTCATTCTTCTCTTAATGCAATCAGAAATATCATACAAAAGTAAAAACTAGATGAACAGTCAGCTCTAACTGTTAAGACCCCAGAGCCTTAACTTTGAAAACTGCTATCCTATCTATGTCCCATTTTGTGACAAACTTCCCTGATGTAGATGGAGATGTGGTCATTTAGGGAACAGTAGGAAAACATTAATGTAGATGTCATTAAAAAGTCACCAACCATTTGGTCATGTAATAGGGCCTTACTTTCAAAAAGCTAGTACCAAGTCTAATTATGGAACTACTGACAAAAGCATACTTTTTAATATCAAACAACGTTTGCAGTAATTACACCTTTTTAATAAAGGAGAGGTATTCATCGGTTCATTCAGTGTAGAACCCATCAACAATTTTCAAGTATTATTTTCACATTTAGAAAAAAAAAAATCACAAAAATAGTGATTTTATTCCTTTCTGTGAAGCATTTTAATACTGTTTATACTTTCACTCATATAAAATTTGTTTTCAAATTTTAAAATATTTGCCAAAATGGGATCAAAACAACAAAAATAATGTTCTTCATAGGCTGCTTATTAAAATGCTTAATCAAGCACTTTTTGAAAACATAATTTCAAAAATGAAACCTCTAAGTTGTCTTTTGTCTCAAAGAAGCAAGATCAGTTTCCTTCTTTAACCCTCCCACACTTTTTTTTGACTAATTTTGAGTTATGCCAGCCATTGAAGTTAAAATGCTAGTTTCCAGAAACATTTGTTTCACTGAGCCAGAGCCACTGAACATCACAGTTTATGACTTTCTGCCTTTGCTGTGTTTCCTCAGGCCCTTTTGGGAACGTGCTGCACTATCGTGCAGCAACAGCACCGCAGTTCCTGCCACTGCAGGTAGGTAGGCTGAAGCTACATGGAGCTGCGTCATGCAAGCACTTGACAGAAAGAGATGTCAGCAGCACACACGAATCCATGTTACCCTCCTGCAAGTACAGCTTGGACCTCACAGTCAGGAATGGCAAGTAAAAGCATCAGGGTAAACTACAGCACAAGGCAAAAATCAAAGTGCAAAAGGTGTCACGGGGACAATTTGGCTGATGAGCTACTGCTGGTAACAGTGGCTATTCCAGGAAGACAAAACAAGAAACAGCTTGACTCCAAGGTCCCAGATTTAGTAAGGAAACTGGGTATCAGAAATATCTGTTTTCCTTGGTCACAAAGAGAATTTTTTTTTTCTTCTTCTTCCTTTTTCCCTCAGAATCACTTATAAGCTGTAACACTGGAGCCTGTGCTGACATTTTCGCAGTAGTCTTTAAGGAATTTTTTTAAAGGCTACTGCTGTGTTTCACAAATAAATTTAAAATCCTCCCAGAGCCAACTACTGAAACTAATACAGCCTGAGAGCTCCATTCTTCATACCAAGATCTGCATCCCTAAGTACTGTATGCGCCCTGCCTACCTGCTAGGATGAGCCACGCTGATGGTGTTCAGGCATGCACAACACTGACAGAGTTCAAGATATCTATCTCCCAATCCCTTGTAATCCTCTATGAAACACATACACCAAATTTTTCCCTCAGGTATCTCTTTCAGCCTTAAGTATCTCAAATTAAACTGGCTTTCCAGATCAACAACTCATCCCATCAGAACATCCATTTTGAACATTGCTTTTACTCACTGATCATAATGGCCATCTTTTCCTTTAGTTCTCACTTCTCATCTTCCCAGGTGCTTAAGAAATGGTTTGTCAAACTTTTATCAACTTCTATAAAACAAAAACTTTATCCCCAGTCAGATTAACATAACCTGATTCTATGTGTTCTCTTCTCTGGGATGTAAAGACTCATAAGCTCAAAAATCAAAATTGCAGGTCTGAAACACACACATCTCATACTTTTTTCAAGCCACACATACTACATCCCTGCAGAATTATCCTCACAAAACTATAAATATGCACTTTGATTGATCAAGGTTCAACCTACAGATCCATGATTCAGACTTACAATGCCAGAAAGGCATTAAAAGATTTTAATGTCATTATAATGACCTATTTTGAACTTTTGTGTAAAATAAAATAAAGAATTTCATTTTCTAATTCCTGCACCGAGACCCTTATGGTTGGTCAGCCAGAGCACAGGCAGTGGCTATCCGTACCCTGCAGTCAGGTCCAACAGGGCTGGGGCCCCTCTTAGCTTGGCTCTGCAATTTAAAATTCAGCCTTGATTCAGTACGTTGCAAGAGCCTGAGAAAAGTTCTAAATATGAGCAATTTTATCACTGTTCAGCTCTCTGAAGCATCTTGAACCTGTTAATCCAAGTGTTTTAATTACAGTCCTTAAACCAGTAGCTGCCACAGCTGAAATCTTTAACAGCACATGACTGAGCACAAACATTTGCAAGGTCAAATTGCCATCGTTTCAAATAAAACATCTTTTTCTTCAGGTTTTCACTGACTACCTGTTAGTATATCGACTTTTGGTTTCCAGTCTGACTTTTGCCCTAACCAGTTCACCTGCAGTCACCATGATAGCCTTCACTAAGCACACACTTACTGTTTCATTGTGGAGCTCCCTGGCAGATAAGCCTTTAACTGGCCTCTGTTTTCCCCAAGTACTTAACAAGTGTTTCCTTTTCCCCCATGCTCCTGACTTATAAAACTTCTCTTCTCTCTCAGACCACTTTAATTTAATTTTTCACCTTCAATTCTATTTTGGCTAGAAGGAAGGAAGGAAGGAAGGAAGGAAGGAAGGAAGGAAGGAAGGAAGGAAGGAAGGAAGGAAGGAAGGAAGGAAGGAAGGAAGGAAGGAAGGAAGGAAGGAAACACTGTTCTTTGTGCAAAGATTTGAACTTTGCAAATAATACCCAGGGAGCAATACATTTGTAACTAACTCTCTTCAATGGATGAGTGAACTTGTTATTCACCCAGTAAGATGCACCTCTTTCCCATATGTAAAAGGCTGCTGGCTGTGGACTTAATGCAAAGGTTACAGTGATACCCAGACTTCAGTTTTCCTACTGCGAGACGAGGCAAGGTAAACCTCTCTCCCAGCACTACATTACTGGCATAAATACAACCAAGAGTTGAAATTTGTTTGTTTGGTTGTTGTGGGTTGTTTTTTTTGTTTGGTTGGTTATTTTTAATCAGAGGACTCTATACTTTTCAAATTTAATGGACAGCAAGATAACTTTCCTCAAAAACAAAAATTAATCAAAAGTAAACCTTAAAATTCCTAATATTTATTTTATTCCTAATGTCTCTTTTTTTACTGTACTTCCAATTAGTTTGGAAATTGATCACACACATTTCACTGCAAATACTCTGAGATGGAAATTCACTATTTGAGCTGTACTAGTTATGATTACCAAAATGAATCCTGCAGTATTACTGTTTCTAGATTGGATTCTCATAATCTAATAAAAGTATTTGATAATGTTCAATTTCTCGGAGGGAGATAACATTTCATGGTGATATAATAAATAAAATACATTAAAAAGATCTAAAGAACTTTAATTCTTGATTTCATTGGGAGGTGCTGACACTGTCCACTCCCCAGCTAAAACATAGCAGTGAGATACATGTTGCTTTTACCACCTCGAACTTGAACAGTCATGAAAAATAGGCAGAAAACTCACTACCAGATCATTTGGAACTCATTTCATTGCTTTCAATTCTTCACAACTTAGATGCAAAGAGTAATAATAACCTCTATTATTATTATTATTATTATTATT